CCCCTGTTGGCCACATTCTGGCCGATAGTTTTCAAATAAACCAGATAATCATCGGCCCAGTCACGCACGCGCACCGCCTGCTCAACAGCCTGGGAGCGCAGCGTTTCATACTGGGCCGCATTCAAATAGGCCCCAACATCAATTTTCGGCATTTCGGGTAGTGTGAATGTGTTAAGAGTTAGGGATTTGGGCGGGAAACTTTCATTGGGATGTAGATAATAGAACAGACCTGTAAAGTTGAAAGTTGCAATTAGCCGAATATATACGTAAATATGTATGCTACAGTTAAATATCTCAACTAATCTAATGCTGGCATGGATACTTGATAGTCTAACGAAAAGACGTGAATATTTTGTTTAGGCAAAGTTGTTTAAATCAGTATTTATTGCTAGTTTCTATATTTTTCAGAATAATTTCAAGCATTCAAATTTTTGAAAAACTATCAAGTACCATTCTAACTGCGTGTGTGATGTTTTTTTTTAATTATTTAAAGATTTAATCAAATAAACTATCAACTGTAATTTAGCTTTAATTAAAAATAAAAGAGCGTATACTGGAATGACACTGCGTTTACATATAATTTGTAGACAAATATATATTCTGAATATTGTACATATGTATTTATATTTGTTTATATATTTAAATGTTTTTTTATTTTTCTATTTTTGTATATTTTTACATACCCTAAAATCTAGCATGTGTCATTCCAGCTTACTTATTTATAGCCAAAGCTGTAATGATGCTTGCCAATTCTTAGCTAACAATCACGCAGATTTGTTAGGCAGCTTTGCTATATTATTAGACATCAACATTTATATATTGCAATCTACTGGCAAGTGTCATTCCGGTATTTTGTAAAATATCTGAACGTGCCTATGAAAATGTTCATAGAAATTATGCACACATTTTCCATATCAATAACAACAGCAGCAACTGGCAACTGGCAAATGGCTGCTGACGTCAGACGCTGTCAACGACCAGAGTCGACCAGTTTTATTAATACACCCAGCAGAAAGGTGAACTATATGCATGTGGCGTTAGTTGTAGGCACGATTCAAGGTGAGCATTTGGCTGCCGCTCAATGTCAAGGCGTGCACGTTCAAATGTTTTACATAAAATACATTTATTTAAATATTGTCATCTATTTGCACTTACCCGTTAGCAGCAAGAGGGGCAGCAGTATGAGCAGAAAGAGCAGAAAACGCTTCTTCGACTTGTTATCAATGCTGCTGGATCTGAGCAGCCACGTGTCCAGGCTGAGCACCGAGGCAATGGCTATGTAGACATGGCGCATCAGGCTCAACAGGCTGCCAACTATGAGTCCATGCTGCTGCTGTTGACTCTGCTGCTGCTGCCTGGCATAGTAATTATGATAGGCACTCGTCTCTGTTTGCGAAATGCTTGTAATCCGCGTCCACATGCTGCTCATGCTACTGACAATGACGCTGATGAAGCGCAAGAGCCACCAGCTCTGTTTCTGCTGGTGGATAAAATTTATATTGTCCAGTTCATCGCCAGAGTCGTAATTCAAGCGCGTGTAATTCGACTGATAGCGCCGGCGTATGAACTCCTCTTGGGCTGGATTGCGATTGACCATGATATCGACGCGTTCATTATGATTCTCCAGACTGCGACGCGACATATTCGGCATGGCCACAATGCCTGGAGCCAGCTGGCGTCTATGCGGCGACAGCTCCGAGTAGGTATAATCCGTTTTGGGTGTTTTGCTGCGAAACATAATTCAATTAGTTGGCTTACTTTTGGCATAAAGGCGTACAAATAGCACTGGGAGCTGGGCTGACAACCGAAGAGTCAAGCGAAACCGACTGACAGCTATTTCAAGGCAACTGAGATGTATTAACTCAGCTGCTCCGAGTGCAATTCGGCAGCTACTTACTTCCAGTACTCGCCCGCATCTCTGTACTCAATATAGGCCAAATGATCATCGCTTAAATTGGCATGGGAGTTGCCATTGGAGCGTCCGCGGGTGCTGCGCTCCTTCTGCTGCTGCTGCAGCTCCTGTGTGGTATTCAGCACATTTTGTGTCGACTCCAATTGACTGCGCGGCGTGGAGGTGACAGCGGTCAGGCTGTTCAGGGCATTGCCCAGTCGCTTGCTGGTGCTGGTGAACATGGTGGTCACCGTGGATGTGCTGCCCGTTGCCTTGCGATTGGCCTCTGACATCGCATCATCGCTCGAATAGTCAGAGACTAGTTGGTTAAATGCCTTTGAGCGCGTGGCTTTATTGTTGCGGTTGCTGCTGCTGCTTCTGGTGGTGGTTGTGTGAGACTCGACCACGTGCTCCTCCACAATGGTTCTGTAAATATGTAAACAAGTTAGTAACGCTAGCGGAAACTGTATAGATAAAATAAACTACAGACCAGCATAATAAAGGCAAAATGTGAATCAAAACAAACTAGAAAATATGCTCATAAATGTTTTACAAATAAAAACGAGCCTGACCTTCAGCAACAAAAACAAAAAACGAGCAAACGGCTTTTCGTTTATTTTACTTTTTTCTATAGTTTTTTTTTTTTTTTTTTTTTGGCTATAAGCGACAACATGAAAACGAAGCTCTCAGGGCCAAATTGCCTCCGCCTCTTGCCTGATGTCGTCATCAACGAAACGGCGCGGCAAAGCAGCAGACGGCGTCAATTCATTAAGCATAAGCAAGCTACAAAGCGCACGTTAGATTCAATTCGCGCGCCAAAAAGAAATCATATTTAAAGCAACACGCGACAGCGCACCCTGTATAGCAGCTCGTCGACGATTTGAACTCAAACAAACAAATTGGCATCAGATCTGAGCGGGCATAGTTGATGATATCTTTAGGAAATGAGTCACTCCCGCGAAACAAACACAAGTGACTGTGACTGCTGGCAAGAGTAAATGATGTCATCGCTTTTTTTATTAAGTTAAAATTCTGTTTTGGCTTAAATATTTCTGCGTGCATATTAATTAATAATTAGTGCTATTTAATGCATAATATTTGATTACACTGCAATACAGTGTTGCCACTTGTTTTTTATACATAAGACTGAGTCACTGTTACTTGCCAGATAGTCACAGTGACAGCTGGCGCATCTCTTGTGTGTTAAGTATTTCAGTTGTATATTTGGAAATTAAAATTTCGCGCCGAGTGTGAATAACTAGCAGATGACGTCATGGTCACAAAAACGCACACATGCACACGCATTCATGCTGACCATGTGTCGTGAGTTGTGTTTGTAGTTGTGTGCTCAATGTTTATGACGAGCTTTTGTTTAGTTCTATTGCCAAAGTAACGATTTGTTTTTGTTGTTGCTTGGGCAACTCTCAAACTCTCTTCAATTAGGTGGCATGTTTAACTGATAAGCAGCATATTTTTGAATTGGTTTTCATTTTGGTTTATGTTTAGATACGCTCTCAAGTGTACTTACTGTACATTCGGGGGCTGAGACGGCTTCTGCTTCTTGTGATGCACATGCCCCTCCTCGCCCGCATGCTCACAATTCTCATGATCGCAGCTGGAGCGCAAGAATGGCGTCTTGGAGCGCGAACGCCGGCGCGTCTCTATCTGGTATAGTTGGTCGCTCATGGCCTGCTTAAAAAGTTTAACTGCAAACGAAAAGAATAAACAATTAATGTTTGTGGGGGGGAAATAAATAAAGGCCGACCATTTTGTCTGTGTATATGTGTACGGTTTGTTTATGTGTGCGTGTACCTGTATGTGTGTGTGTGTGACGGGCGTGGGTTGTTTACAATGTGGATTTCATTTCACAACGAGAAGGGGGGGGGGGGGGGGGCAAATGGGCATTACAATTAGTAATGAAACAAGGTCTGACGAAACATCGAACACACTTATGCGCACGCATATATATGTAAGTGCGCGCGTGTGTGTGTGTGTGTGTGTGTGTGTGTGTGTGTGTGTGTGTGTGTGTGTGTGTGTGTGTGTGTGTGTGTGTGTGTGTGTGTGTGTGTGTGTGTGTGTGTGTGTGTGTGTGTGTGTGTGTGTGTGTGTAGATAGCTCAGTTTCTTTTACGCTCGAGTGCTCAACAAATCGGGCTGTTGGTCGAAAACATTAACATTACAAAATTATGCAATGCGTGTGGAAATGAGCGCAGTTTCTTGAGATTTAATTAGATTGCAATGGGAGCGCAGCGTGCGCCTAAAAATACATAGACAGGCAGCTGCAACGGTAGCAGCATTTAGCACGCATTGCCGGGTGGGCCTTGCAAAAAGTCAGCAAAGCGCAGACGAAGCACCACAATTCACATTAGGGGCACTCAATGTGAGCATAAACAAAAAAGTAACTAGCCAACGGCGAGGCCACGCCATAAACAAACACAGATATTTGGTGGTGTTAATCAATAAAATGCGCCGCGACGCCCTTTCGCAAAAGGCATACACACTTCTACTCTTTATGTTTTGGTGAAATGCGTGAAAATCCAAACAAGTTTTCCGACCCGCAACTGCGTCAGCAAACGCCGCGTCGTTTTTTATTGTAGCGTGCCAAAAGAAAATATGGCGCACACACACAGGTGCACTCGTATAAAATATTATATACACTTACATTTCACACATTCAAGTTTAGCACAAGAATTCAGTTTTTATTTAATGTGCTTTTGCACAATTTGTTTTTGATTGTCGGTCGCGACGTTTTATAAATAGATATGCGCACCGAACAAATACACGTCTAACTCTACCGACAGAAAAATTACGAATGACTCGATAAGTCGCAGTGTACGACATATATACGATATATCGATACATTTTAGGAGCGACGTGACAGCTACGTTATTTGGGCAAGCAGTTCATACTTGACAGTAGATTTAAGTGTGACCGATACATCGTTCTGAATACTCGATATATCGACACGAAATTACATAGCAGTAAATTCGATACGATACTCGGGAATGTTCCGTGCAAAAACGCGCGAATGTTCCTTGTTACTTTTTTGGTACCCATTCCCTATGTCATGGGAAATACATTAATGTAAACGTTGTTTTCATATACATATATATTAATTTACGTTGTAATAGCGCAGAGTATAAAAGATTTTTCGTATAGGTGCTTAGGCAGCTTATTGGTAGTAGAGCTCCAGATTCATGCCGTCGTGAATTTCATCTGCAAGTACCATAAAAAGCAGGTCATTAATATTATTAATTAAAACATAATAAACTAGAAAGTAACGAACAATCAGATAGACGAATGGGGTCCTTGTAGATGGTATACCACTTTTTTAGCACAATCTTCTCGTGCTTTGTGCCAGTTTGCGCCGCTATTAGTTTTTTCAGGTCCCCAATGGTGTCGTCGGGATTGCACTTCACACGCACCTGCAAGACAAATGAAAGTCTTTATTAGGTTGAATTGTTTAAGCACAATGCGTTTACCTTTTTGCCCAGACGGTCATTGCAAGTTATTTCAATCATATTTGTGTGTTTTGTCTTCACCTCTCAATGCAACAACAAATCTATTTCGATAACTGCATATGCCTTCCATGGCAACGTTATCGATATATATTTAAGTGTTGCCGGATTGACCGGAAAATTCCCTGCAGAAATAACAAATTAGCAGACGGCAAATTCAGCACTAAATATCTAGAAAAGTCTCGCAAACATGTCCATGATTCCGTTCTTTCCAAGCATCAAGCCATCGGTGGCCAATCGTATTTGGTTTGATATGACTTCCGATGATGAAGTACAAACCAAGCGTTATGAGGACGAGCGCAGGAATTGGGTATGCCCGATATTCATTTAAAATTGGACAACATTTGACGCACTTTCTATTGCAGCGAGAATCCTTGAAAACAGCTGCCACGGATCTGCAGCCGCTGGGCAAGGTGCACACTATAACCGGCGTCGAAACCGATGATGAGGACGGTAAGTCTTAAAATAGGAGAGGGCATAAGATTTCGAAATGCTAACCAATGATTTCCAAAGCCAATGACGATAGCGAAGACACCGACAGCCACGATGAGGAGGACGATGAGACCAACGATCGGGTTATTCCAGTCACACAGGACTTCTACTCTGCCGACGATATACAGATGAACGATGAGACCTCGCCCACAGCACCGTAAGGAAAGGCTTTGCATTGATACACCATTTAGTTGATTAATGTTGCGATTACAAAGTTCCCTTTACAAACTGTAATAACATATTTCGTTTACTTTAAGCTTAAATAAATTATAAACATAATAAGCAAAAATAGTTGGTGCTGGGCGAGCACACTGGTTATTATAATGGTAACTCTGCCGCTGCAGAAGCAGTCTTCAGCCAGAAGCCAACTGATTAAGGGAGCGGATTCACAAAGAGTTTAGGACTTTAACATTTTCTTCTACTTGTGCAGCGCAGCCGTTTCCAATTTGGGCGCTGGCTTCGAGACTAGGCCGGAGAGCAATTTCTTGATCTCGGCAATAGCACGACCAGGATTGAGACCCTTCGGACAGGTGCGCGTGCAGTTCATGATGGTGTGACAACGATACACGCTGAAGGGATCCTTTAGCTTGCTCAGACGCTCCACGCTGTTTTCGTCACGCGAATCAATGATCCAGCGATACGCCTGCATCAGCACAGCCGGACCGAGATACTTCTCGGCATTCCACCAGTACGATGGGCATGCGGTCGAGCAGCAAGCGCACAGAATGCACTCGTACAGGCCATCCAGTTTGGAGCGATCCTCCACAGACTGCAAGTACTGTGCCTTGCCCTTCTGCTCAACGGCTTCGTTCCTAAATGGAATAAAGAAAATAATTAATATAAAGTTATTAGTCAGCTGCTAATTACTTACTTGCGCTGCAGCCAGGGCTGGATGTTTTTGTACTGCTCGTAGAAGTTGTTCATGTCCGGCACCAGATCCCGCACCACATACATATGCGGCAATGGATACACCTTCAGAGGCTTCGAGCTGGTCGCATCGATTTTGCTGATGCAGGCCAGGGTATTGACGCCGCCAATGTTCATGGCACAGGAACCGCAAATGCCCTCGCGACAAGAGCGACGGAACGTCAGAGTGGGATCTATCTCATTCTTGATCTTAATGAGCGCATCCAGCACCATGGGACCGCATTCGCGCATGTTAACCTCGTAGGTCTGCATGTGGGGCTTCTCGCCGGCATTGTCCGGACTCCAGCGGTAGATTTCAAACTTTTTAATTTGCGCCTCCTGCGCTGCCTTCGGCTGTGCCTGCTGCTCCAGCTGCGTTGTGTTGCTGATTGCACGTAACTGGAAAAATCACAAAGTTAATTTGGTTACTTTTGCGCTTTGGTCACGCCATAGCAATTTTTTTTTTCGTATGGCAAAAATGTTTACATAATCGCAAATTGTGATATTTTTACGACGCACTCGTCTGGCATTTTATCAGGCATTTAGGCAATTTAGTTATGTTTTTGTTAATTCTTATATAATAATAAGGCCTAAATGGCCAACACACACGCCCCTCGCGGGGATGGAGGACGTTTGGCTTGCTGCTTACCTGGTGACGTGCCGCCAAGGAGCTGGCGCGGCTCAAAACTTGTCTGGCTTCGTTGACCAACATTTTCGTACGAAATTGAAACGGCACTGCGTTTGCAATTTAAAATATTTCAAGCAAACAATATGTTGTTTTCCGAATGGAAAATCTTAGTTGCACTCAAGAAGTTGCACGACTGTCTGACAGAGTTGCCAGCTTACAGTTATCGATGGCCAAAAAGAAGCCAGCTGGCACAAAAAAAGGCTAAAACAACCAGAAGCTAGCCGCCATTAAATTTCCTATGAACAAGTTAGTAGTATTTAAAATTGTGTCGAATTACTTATGTTAGACAAAATAAATGTTAATTAATTTATATTTGCTTAGTTTTAGTCAAAGTAACCTGCAATAAACTAGAAAAGCTGGCAGCTCTAAGTAATAGCTGCAGCGTTATCGATAGTCAGCTAAAAAGATATCGGTAGCGCTTCAGCTGACGGCAAGTGTGACCATGTGTTGGGGATTTTACATTTAAATTTTAAATGTTTTAAATTCTATTTATATGTTCTAATAAAAAAAACGTATGTAGCTTGCATAAATAAATAATTATTAAGAAAATCGTGTCACAGTTTTGTTTAAATACTTTATGCTAAATTGTAAACCTTAGTAAAAAGCGCTTAGATTTGGCTAACTGTTTCGACAGCCCCTTGGTGGGTCTGATGAGTGATCGGTTTCTCACAGTTGGCCGGAAGAACGGTCAGATCTGCATTAGACATAGTTCCATTGTTAACAGCACGCTGCTGCATGGGCGGATAGGACGTTTGCATGCTATAATCATAAGATACGTACGATAAATTTGTGCATACATTTTAATTAAATTCAATAGTTTAACCTACCCAGGCATTGGAGTTGGCATAACCTGAACTTGCACGGGTATCATTTGTACATGGCTTTAAAAATATAAATTAAGTGTACGATTCAGGGAATTATCTTACTTAGCAGCTTACCTGGTGGTTCGTGCTGGATACGCATACGTTCCCGGATAGACGTTTGCCTGATAGCTTGGCGGTGGGTAATGTGTAACGGGTGCACCACCTGGTGGCCTGTGTGTGGCCGAGGTGATCGCAACGGGGGCTGTAAAGCGAAATCATTAGAAACCAAATAATAAATAAAGTAATAATGAAAAACATATAGTATAGACGCTCAGCTGATAAGCACAGATTAATATGTAGCCTAAGCATTCTTTTCACTCACTCCCCTCGCTGATCACATAGCCCACGCTTTGTTTTGCCTTTTGCTGGCGCCTGATTAAAACCGTAATTGAAACTATAAAAAATATACATATTGCTATAGAAAGTGCAATTAGAAAGCCTCCCATCTCGTCTATTCGTTGTAATGCTGACAAATGCCCAATTTGCGTTGACAAACCGTACTGAGTTTCGGATCGCCAATTGCGTTGAGTTAGTCCCCGTTCGTGTCTAATCAATGGACATTATTGCCATAGATAAGCAGCGATAACTGCTAGCTTTAAACGCAAGTTGTAAATATAACAATCACCAAAATATGGCAAGAAATTAGTCACAAAAATACACTTTAACACAGAAATATGTATATAAGCAACAATACATATTTTCAACAATGATAATAATTGATTAAAATTAACTGAACAATTCTAGTTTATCTCATACTATAAAATTGTAAGCACAGTAGCTGAGCGAATTGTTGAGTATATAATGATAATTTTTATAAATTAAGTAGATTTAGCAGTTCAATTCAGAGATTACAATTAACTTTTTGTTATGCATGTAAATATGTATTTACTTTCCTTGAGTTGCCCAGAGCTAATTTTATAATATAAATACGCAAGAATATGGAGCTCTACACAATAAGGAACTTATTTAATTTAATTGTTTTGGAAATGTTTTCAATACGAGAATTGAGTATTCAATCTAGAGAATTTTCTTAGTTCAAAAATCTAACGCTTATTTTATATACATCATTTCTGGCCCATTTGTGCAAAATAGAATTAGGGTACTTATTTCTAAAATATTCGATATACATAAAAGAGCAACCCTTTTTATTAAAATGAGAGATTTACAAGTTTGTAAAAATGTATAATAGCACTATAACACTCACGATTGTCTAGAGATAGACCCAAATTTGAGTAGAGTGCACATCAATTTAAGTAGAGTCTACAATATATATTAATTGTCTACTATAAAAGTCTAAGAATTCGCTAACAATTGGTTGGACTCAAGAGGTCCGAGATAGTGCTTAATGGCAACAACTTGTAAGTTGTCAACTTTTAATTGAGCGTGCACTGTGATAAAAAACGCCTTCAACCGCATTGTTATAGGGCGAAAGTCTCTAAAACAAGCAAATGAATCAGTGGCTTTTTAATGGCACTTGCCAAGTGCTCGCAAACTATAATATAAAACTTTTTAAATGGCATTTATGTTGGCAAGTCAAGAGCAGCGCGACTTTGACAATTGTTCATTGACCTTTTGTTGGCGCTAGCACAATATACCTTATACATATACATATATATATATATATATGCGTGCATTGTAGGCACTCTATATAGGAAAGAAAAGTATCAAGAAGCGGGCGGAAAACTTTGGGCCTCATTCTCACCTAGGCAATGGATATTTTCCAACTGAAAGGCATCAAAGCCTCAGTTGAAAAAGTCCGTAGTACGCGCTGGGTACTCTTTATGAGTTCGGATGAGGAAAAAACAAACTTTTTCAATGTTAAAGCAAACACAGAGCACACAAAGTTGAGGGACGCGGCAAGCAAATGCGGGCAAAGCAATCCCCGACCGATCCCCTCCAAGCCCAGCCCATCATCGCATTCAAGGCAAATAATATACATAAGTCTAAACAATGCGAAAACTTAAATAAAACGTTGGGTCAGGTAAGCAGACCACCCGCCACCCGCCACCCGCCACCTGCCACCCACAGCCACGGAACCCGCACAGAAACGGCAACAAAATACCATAAGAAATTATTTTAAAAAAATACAAAACTTCAGGCTTCGGATTGGTGGGCAATGACACGGGGGAGAAGGCGACAGCTTGACTGCAAGCTTTTTAAATTGTTTTGATTTGAAATTCGAGTGTTCGCAGTGCATGCAAATGACGTGAATGGTGACGAGCGCAGCTAATTAGCAGAGCATGCCAGAACGGCCTCTAAACTTTACAACCAAGTGCAGAGCCCAAGCAAATACGATTGCCTTGGGGGCACAGGAAAAAGCCCTAGACTACTTTTGAGGGCCACTTGGATAGGCTGGCAGAAAATAAAATAGGAAGAAAGAAAAGTTATCGGTTAACCGAAGAGTATATACCCTTGCAGTGCTATAGCAAATGTGAGACATATTTGCATGCTCAGAAATGTTTTTATACCAAAACTCCATTTCTAACCGTTTGTTTCTATAGCAGTAAGATGATAAAGGGGTCCTGCCTGCCCTGCCTGGAAAGGAAAGACGGACCTATGCTAAGTTTCGAGCCGTGGCTACACAAACTTTGCTTTTTATGCTTAAATAGCTCACTTTCGGATTGATCACTTCCTCTGGGAGATATATGATAAAGTAATTCTTTCCGGATACAGAGACAGACAGGAAAACGTATATGCCAATAACGACACAATTCAGATTATAAATACTTATATGTCCATACAGGTTCGCAGCTATCTTCTTCAATGCGTCACAAATTCCATGAGAAAATAATAGAGTCCTTTGCGAGTGTATGCAAAGAAAAAAGTTGGCAAAATCAATACAAAATGCTGAAAGCGAGCCAAATGAATGGGCTCGATAGACGTTTAGATTTACCAAATTGAGCGAACCACTTGATAAATGTTTTGTGGTGCGTCAAATATACATTTACGTCTGCGATACTAGATACGCCCCCGGGCCCCGAGGCCGCCAAGCCGACGAGTTTTTCTTTATCTGTCTATAGCTATGCACATTTTGCGTGTGCCATGACGCACACACACTCAAATAGCTGGATGGGTGGGTAACTGTTTAGATATAGTCATCTGTATATACGAATACGTATGTGTAACAGCTTGAATAACTGTGCGTCTATCAATGGAGAGACAAACGTCACAGAAATAGCATTTTGATTTCGCTTTCAGTTAACTGTCTGACAATATTGTCAAAGTTTTCTTCGTCGTTATTTTTTTTTGTGTGTGTATTAAAATGGCATTCATAAGGCGTCATTTCCCTGGAGTGCCATAAATAGGACCCATAGACACAGATGCAGACACCACAGACACTAGACAGACAGCCGGAAAATTGGAGAGCCGGAGAGTCGGAGTTAAGCGCAGAGTTCGAGCCATGTAATGCAATACCCTGTCCCATATCTAAATGAATTATTTATGCTCGCTTTGTGGCTTCGGGTCAATTCTGTAAACATCGATGGCTGCTCCTTATGTCTGTCTTGGTAATAAATATATCATTAAAACTGCACACATCGGACAGGCGGCACTCTGTTGCCTTTAGTGCTTGTCAATTGCCACAAATTTGCTACAAATTTGTTGCCCTTTCAATTATTACGCATACGACCCGTTGCGCTGCTTTGTCAAGTGGTATTTGTGCATTTGACAGTGGCTATTAAGCTGCTAGTTAAAATGATTAAGTGGCCATACGACTAGCTAAAAGTGGTATTTAAACTTCGCAAGAGCTGCCAATCTGCGAGTGTATTTGCAGTAGATAACTGATTGAAAAGCTTTAAGTGGCATTGAGAGCAATTAGGTGCACTTAAAGCTCATAGTTTAATTAACTGTGAGCAGAATTGGCCAGTATTTCGGTTGCATCAAGTGCTTGATCAACTACTTAAAGCTTTAATTTTGTATAAGCAAACTTTTTAAGAGCAAATTAAGCAATTAGGAAAGCACAGAAAAGCTTTGCAATTAGTTTAATCAATACAATTAAGCTTCTTAACCGTTTTCAGCTTTTGCTTAATCTCCTAACTAAAATGTTTTTATTAATTTAAAATATGAGCTTTGGAAGCTTACGAAAGCTTTAAGTCACTATACTAGAGCTTAAAGCTTAACAGACTTGACAATTAGTTTTCCACTTGAACCAATTAGCCTTGAGTAATGTTCAGAAATCATATAAGATCTTTTAATTCATTGATTAAGCTTTAAGAGCGTTGTGCCGGAACTCATTTAAAGCTCAGCTGAATAGCTATATTTAGCCCCTTTTTTTCT